GCAGGGTCCCTTGATGAGAGGCCCAGCTCCTCCCAACCTCCATACCAAACCTGACCAGAAGCAGACACAAAGCAATGAAACAATCAAGCACATTATCTTTTGAAGTGGGACGGGTGTAGGAGTTGTTTGCTTGTTTGTTGATTGCTTGTTTTTTTTGTTTCTCTGGGCAACCTGGGAGAGCCAAAAGGATTTGGGTCTTAAGCCAGGGGGTTTTTAAACCAGAGAAAGCCACTGGTCAACACAGAGGAACAAAAATGACACAAATACATAGGAAGACACATAGAGACACAAATACATAGAGACAGACAGGGTAAAGACAACCAGTGCTGGCATACATACATACATACCCCTAAACAGACATGGGGAGCCAGTGACATCTCACATAGATCCTGGACACTGGATCAGCAGCCACATCCAACCTCTTCTATGTGTTCAAACAGAAGATGCCTTAACAAACTTACGTCTGGAGGTGAAAAAGCAGGTGACATTTTAATTTGTCTCTTTTGGGTGTGAGGGTATCAGACCCCTCCACAGTATTAGGTAGCAATTGATCAAAAAGAGCCCTAGGGACTTGGTACGTTTCTGGTTGTGTATCTGCTAGGAGTCCCCTGACAACCCTCTCTCTCCAAGGGGCTCTGAGATCCCCAGTGTCTTATAGTCTGGTCTCTGGGGATCTCAGTGGGACCTCCAAAACTGTTGTGGAATATTTACCAAAGAAGACTCTTTGGACGTGGATTTAAGCTAATTGAAAGTCTTTATTAGCAGGAAGGTGACTACTCTGGGTGTTCAGGATCCCAGTGTAGTCCTGAGCCATTCTTGGAAATGAGATTTTAAGCACATGTCCTGGGTTGCCATACTTCAATTAACAAGAGCAGTTAGCCAGAAGCAGAACTATAGAAGCCCCAAAGCAAGGTTAGTATATTTAGAGACTTTCCCAGAACTATAGAGTTTGACAGATTATATCTTTGTTTTTGTTTTGGCAGGTGTTAATGTCTACATACTGCGTTTTACAGCCTGAATGTTACTTTGATCATGAAGTCAGTTGTGTTAAGATCTGGGCCCCTGTGGCACCTGTGGATCTAGCCCCTGTTGCCACGTAAAGCTCCACAGCCCTTCATGCACAGTCTGAACAAGGTAACCAGGGCAAGGAGAAGAGGAATTTCCCTCCTCCACTGTTTTCATAAATACTTGGCAATATTTCCCACCACACTAAAGTTCTTGCTAGGTAATTGAAGTACATCGTCAAGAAGAGCCATAAATGAACCAATGCTTTGCATTCTGTCTGTTATTTGCATTTTGGTCTCATGCTTCTTGACTCAAAGCCTTTCTAATAGAGAAATTTTAGGCCCCAGGGATGGAGAAAAGGAAAGGTAAATGGAAAAGAGTGTCTCTCAGCATCTCTCCCCAATCATATGCAACATTATTTAGTCTAGTTATATGTTAATTCCTACCCTGAATAACTGACAAGGTTGCATTATTCTTGGATTTTAAAAAGTAATGTAATATACAAACTGTTCACCACATTAATTCAGGTGCAACCTTGGACAAATTGCTTTGAACAATTGTAGCCACTAAGCAGGATAAATGTGGAAAATGTTTCATTCTGCATGAGGGAGCCTCTGGAATACAGAGAATTCGGGATGTTAAAAGTGACTCAGTCATGTATAGAAAGGACAGAACAAGTACCATGTTTTGTTTTGTTTTTTTTTTTTAAATATTAATGTGAAGTGTTATCTGAACGGAAGTTAATGTACTATTGTTCTAATCTTTCTATTGAAATATAAAACATGAAAGCAAATATTTCATGTTTCTCTCACCTTTGTTAACAATCAAGGATGCAATTTATTTTTAAAAGAGCATAAACACTAATGGAATTCTTGAAAATGCTGAGCTTTAAAATTCTCTTACTTAAAAATAAGGTTTTTGTTGCCGGTAAATAACTGGATGCACAGAAATGTGGACTGCTTCACTTTAAATAATTACAAAGGTTATTCACCATATCCCCACCTCTGTTTGTCAAGAACAGCAGCAGACAACCAAAGCTTCATTATTAGCTTAATTTGTAATGTCCAAGACCAACTCAGGTGGGATTTCAAAATCTAGAATTATGTTTTTCTTAGAAAATGAAGACATTTCAGGAGTTTTAGATGGTTCCCACTCAATGGTACTAAATAAGTTCTTTTCCATTTCCGTTTACCCTCAAAGATCCAGAAGTACAGGGGATGTAAAACCAAAACAAGTCTTGCACTTTCTCAGAAAATTGCAAACAGTTCTGGCTCAAGACCAAGCTATACCACTCCTGGGTATACACCCAAAGATGCTCCACCATACACCCAGGACACTCGCTTAGCTATGCTCACAGCAGCTTTATTTATCATATCCTGAAACTGGAAACAACCTTGGTGTCCCTCAACCAAAGAATGGATAAAGAAACTGTGGTACATTTACACTATGGAAAAACAAAGAAATCATTAAATGTGTAGACAAATGAATGGACCTAGAAAAGATCATCCTGAATGAGGTAAACTAGACCCAGGAAGACACACATAGTATGTACTCATTTATAAGCTTATTTTAGCAACATTGTACAATATAAACATAGTATATTTCATAGAGCCAAAGATAAATAACAAGGAGGACACAAGGGAGGATGATTAAATCTCACTCAGAAGAGGAAATAGAATAGACCTTGGAAGTATTTGAAGAGAGGAAACAAGGTAAGAACTGAAGGTGGAGATCAGACCTGAGAGAGTGAGGGTGGGGGTGGGGGTGCCTGCAGAGAGAAGAGAAATGATGGGCAGACACAACTCTGTGACAAGCTGGAGTCCTAGGACAGGGTAGGCTTTTGGAGGATATGGGGGTTACTCGAGATGAGCCTTCTAGTAGCAGGGGTCATGGAGACTGAAGAAGACACTCTCTCATTAGACTGGACTCCTAGTGGAGGGAGGAGAACATCAACCCGCCCCCAAAAACTTTCACCCAAAGTTTACCCTGCCTACAAGATGGACAGGGATAAAGATAGAGCAGAGACTGAGGGAATGTTCTACCAATGCCTGGCCCAACATGAGACTCACCCCATGGGAGAGAGCCATCCCCTGACAGTATTATATATACTCTGCTAGGCTTGCAGACAGGAGTCTAGCATAGCTGTCTTCTGAGAGGCCCCACTCAGCAGTACCTCAAAACAGATGCTGAAACTCACAGCATCTCCCTATGGGAGAAGCATAGGGAGTCTTGTGGAAAAGCAGGGGGATGGATAAAAGGACCTGACGGTGACCGGAGCTGCACAAGAATACCAGCAGAGCCAACTAACCAGAACCCAGAGAATTTTGCAGAAACTGAAGCACCAACCAAGGACTGGATCTAGGCCCACTACACAGATGTAACAGACAGGCAGTTCAGGCTTCATGTGGGCTTCCTAGTAAGGACAGCAGGAGCTGTCTCTGACATGTGCTCAGTTGCCTGCTTTTGGATCACTGTCTAGTGGCAGGGCTTCCTCTTCAGGACACGGGGAAGAGAACATGCTCAATCCTGACGCAACTTAATGAGCTAGGGTGAGCAGGTAGGGGTGCCCTCATGTTCTGAGGAATAACGGGGGAGAAAGGAGGGAGAGTGGTACCAGGAGGAGAGAAGGGAGGAAACTAAGCCTGGGATGTAAAGTGAATAAATAAATAAGTTAATTAAAAATAAAATAACAAAACAAAAAGAACAAGATCTGTAAGACAACCTACAAACACTCCATACCCTTAAAATGTGTCTAAGTTGCCTTCTCTCTCTCTCTCTCTCTCTCACTCACTCACACACACATCATGGTTTTAAGCCCACTGTGTATTAACATATTTTGAGTGTTAATTTTATTTATTTCCATCCATAAAGTAGATGTCTCTGAAGAACCTTTTGCCATATCAGGAAGATAATGTAGTATCTTTTTATTGCTAAACGTGTTCATTAAATAGAAAAAGCATAAATCAAAATGTTTTAATATGACATGAAGGAACAAAAAGAAGGGCATGATAAAGAAAAAAAGCATGATTTCATGAAACCTTATTGACTCAGACTTTGCTAAGTTAGCATTTGTGTTTATTCAGAAAATGTTGTCAGACTATAGCTTAGTGTAGAAAGTTATTAGCAAGCTATTTCTCTAAGTATAAAAATTAATTTTGATCATTGTCGTCTATGCGACTATCTCAAATGATATTCAACCTTCCACCCCTCTGACACCACCCAGGTCTATTCATTCCCTTCAGTCTTCAGCAATGGTGAGAATACTCTTGAAGATTCTGCAAAGCCCTCTCCAAAAAGCACCACCCTCTGCCTCAACTTTGCACAGACCACACCTATGCACACATCTATGGACTCAGAGTGTAGCAGTTACTTATCTTCTGTTGCTTATCTCTTTTCGTCAGTCACAGGCCACAGGACTTTCTGTCCCAGAGATACGTGGTGTTTCTCCTGAACTTAGCACCTTTACATCATGAATTCTTTCTACCCTGAATGTTTTTCCTCCTGATCAGCAGGTCAGCTGGTAGCTCATCTGGTTCTTATCATCACTGTCACCTGCTCCTTAGTACAGAGTCCTCCCCTCACCACTCTGTCCCACTATGCTTACTTTTAAAGCATTTTGTGCTGATGCTGTCTTTTTCGTTTGTGGATTATTGAGACTATAACCTAATTACATTTCTCCTTGCCTTTTCCTCCATGTATACTCTCCCATATGCACCTTCCCACTCTCCTTCAAATACATGGTCATTTTTTCACTAATTGTTATCACATACTTAATTTAAATATATCCTATTCTTTTCTGCCTTCTCCTCCCTTACACCTGAGTGCCTCTCCTGCTGTGCCGTGCTTTCTCTGCACTGTCAGGCCAGTGCAGCTGTCCACAGTCACCACCATGACCATCTACCTACCAGGACTTCATCAGCCTTGATGGGCCGGTCTCCGGCATCTACAAGATCCTGGAGATCACGAACGGGCTGTGTCTGGAGGTGGAGGGCAAGATGGTGAGTAGAATGGAGGGTAACATAGGTGACTTACTCACTGGCAGAAATGCTTCCACTGCAGGCCTGGAGGGGGAAGGTAACAAAGGCACAGTAGTCAACAGTGCTGAGATTGTCATGAACCATCGCTTACAAGAAACCAGCTTCACAAAAGAGGTCTACAAAGATTACGTGAAATCACTCTCAGGCAAACTTGAAGAACAGAAACCAGAAAGAGTAAAGCCTTTTATGACTGGGGCTGCAGAGCAAATTAAGCACATCCTTGCTAATTTCAATAACTACCAGATTTTTATTGGTGAAAACATCAATCCAGATTGTATGGTTCCTCTCCTGGACTACTCCGGGAAGATCATATGACTACATTCATGATTTTCTTTAAGGATGGCTTAGAGGTAGGAAAATGTTAACAAATTGGACTTATCGCCTGTCACCATAACTGGCTGCTGCTTATCATCCATGCAACCCCAGGACTTAGGACAAATGGGACTGATGTCATCTTAGCTTTTATTTTGACCATGATTCGCGTGGAGTGGAGACATTGTATTTGTAAGAAAAAACACGTCATGTAGGTTTCCTAAAAATAAAGTGCGTTTAAATTAAAAATCAATAAATAATAAACACTACCTACTGTGTATCTCTCCTTTTCAATTCCTCTACTGCCTCCCTCCCGTTGCTCCTTAATGTGATCTCCTTGGGGCTTACAATGATGGTTGAGGCACGATAGCTACTCAATCCGTTGTCCTTGTAATGACGGGACAATGAAGGATGGCAACCCTGCTAGACAATGAACGCATGCAAGAGAGGTGCTGTGTGTGCTTTCTTCATTTTCGTGACTCCTACATTCGACACTGTGGTAACAAAGAAACACAGCAGGGGTTTAGTAAACCCTTGGTAAGTATATAGCCCAACAAGAAATAAGAATACTTATATTTTTTATTATACACATAGGGAGATGTCAAGCTTGAACGTATTCATATATGGTTAGAAGTTAGTAAAAAAAACAAAAAAACAAAAAAACATACGGCTTCAGAAACAGGTAACAAAAGTGGAGGAGAGTCTGAGACTGTGACTTTAGGAATTGGTCATTGGTCTTTTAAGCCTCCATTGTCTATGTTAAGTTGAAAGGGATTAGGTGACCTACCAACACTGTTTGACGCTAATCTGGTTGTATCTCTTTTTGCCGTACTCCAAGCAGACCTCCCTCCTGAAGGTACAAAAACGGTTCTTCAGCTACGGTGTGAGGCTTGGAGCTTGCCAAGCAATTAATTTTATAGCTTAAAGCCTTCAAAAAGAGTGAAGATACCAACACAGAGACTAAAGCTAAAAGGGATGAGTAGGCAGAATGTATTCCAGCCAGGGTTATCTCCAGGACATAGTTGCTCCTCTGGTGAGTCACAAGTTAAGCAGAATTCACAGTTCTGCTTAAAACAGTCATCTACCAAGTTGTGACAGATAGTACAAGGCATCTGGGAACAATAGTTAAAATGCTTGACTCTAAAATAAGCTTGGAAAGTTTTGGATTGAAAGTTATGATATTTATAGGAGGACTAATTCGTGGGCAGACTCCCCCACAGGTGGGTGAGATGTCCAACAGAAGTTCTCACCTCCTCTAACTTAAGTGGAGTTTGATTTATTCCAGACTTCTCATTTAGTTTCAAGCTTCTCTCACCTGGAATGTAAGTGTTCTGGTATCTAGCTGCTGCTTACCTGGAAAGAGGCACAAACCTGCCTGATACATGTTTGTAAGGCTGAGTCACAGTCTGAAGCGTGGAGGATCCTTGCATAACTACGATTCTTCTTAACTCCCATTGAACGCTGGGTTGAATGATGTAAATGGTGTGGAAGGCAGTAGAACAGAGGACTGGACTGGACGCTGGACTCTGAACTGAAAGACTGAAATCCTCAAGATCTTGACTCATAAAACCGAGAGACTTCATTCTTTTTTAACTTTAAAAAATTATTATTATTATTTACAATTTTTCACTTTGTGTCCCAGTTGTAGCCACCTTCCTCATCTCCATTCCTACCCCCCTCCCCCTTCCTCCCCTATCCCTCCTAGTCTACTGAGAGGGGAGGTCTTCCTCAGATACTGTCTGACCCTAGTTTATCAGGTTCCATTAGGAGAGCCTGGATCCTCTTTCTCTGTGGGCTGGCTAGGTCGCCCCACCAGGAAGAAGTGATCAAGGAGCAGGCAATCGAGTTCATGTCAAGGACTATCTCTTCTCCACTCGGAGACTGAGCTGTCTATGGGATACATATGAGCAGTGGAGACTTCATTCTTTAGATTCAAGGGTCTGAGCTACAGCAGTCAGCTCATCTATATCCAGTCTCCATTTTGGCTAGACACTATTCCTAGTACTCATCACCAAGATATAAAGAATCTCTTCTTGCTTTATACAGTCTTTAGAATCCCGCACCAACTGCCTGTTTCAACCAAGGAGAAAAGAAGTACCAAACTTGCCCTGGACTTGGCATCATACCTGATTTAGTCCATGCTAAATCTCAGTATTAGCATATATAAAGCTCAATATTAGCATGTGTATGGTGTTAGTAACCACTGTCTGTTTCTTATAATCATGCTAGGTATCAGTAAATTATCTGAAAGACAGTACATGTCTAATAGATTAAATCTTCAGGCTAAAGAACCAAAAACCAGAGTTTATTAGAAGGCCTCTCATATGAACTAGGGGGTGTGAGCTTTCGTGAGGTCCCAGGTTTGATATCTAGTGCTGATAAAATATAAGAACATAAATAAATTAGCAGAACTAAATTTTAATCATCTTTATGTTCTCAATATACAGTTCTCAAATATCACCCACTTAAAACACACTCTACATTCATGTATACTTGAAACTCAGAATGAAGTTCTCACACTGGTTATATCAAAATCATTCATTAGAGGCTACAGAGGTGGCTCAGCTGTTAGCTAACTGTTTTTGCTAACAGGACCCAGGATTGGTTCTAAGTAACATAAAGAGGCTAACAACTGGTTGTAACTCCAATTCAGAGGATCCAACATCTTCTTCTGGTTTCTTTGGATTCTGCGTGCATGTGGGGTACAAGGACATATGCGGGCAAAACACTCATACACATTAGCAAAAAAATAATAATTATCATCATCCATTAGCTAGGCAAAACACAGAATCTTCAGCCTCACCCTCAGCCTATGGGTCTGATTCTTTTTTCATTATTATTATCATTATTATTATTATTATCTTTTATTACAATTTATTCAATTTGTGTCCTGTCTGTGGCCCCCTCCCTCATCTCCTCCCAATCACAACCTATCTCCCTCTTCTTCCCCTATGCTTCTCCTTTAGTCCCCTAGTCCTCCTCCCCTTCTATCTGACCCTCTCCTAAAGAAGCTAAACAACAAGGAAGACCCTAAGGAAGATGCCCAATCCTCATTCAGAAGGGCAGACACGATAGACATCAGAAGCAGAAGACAGAAAACAGGACAGGATCCTACCACAAAGGGCTTCTGAAAGAGGCTACTGATCATGTATTGAAGCAGAGGCTGAGACTCATAGCCAAACTTTGGGCAGAATACACGGAATTTTATGAAAGAAGGGGGATATAGAAAGATCTGAAAGGTACAGGAGCTTCACAAGGAGACCAACAGAGCCAAAAAAAAAAAAAAAACAAAAAAAAAACATCTTCAGAGATAGATACTTCAACCAAGGACCTTGCATGGAGATTTCCTAGACCCCCTGCTCAGATGTAGCCCATAGGCAGCTGAGTCTCCAAGTGGGTTCCCTAGTAACAGGAGCAGGGGCTATTCTGGCATGAACTCAGTGACAGGCTCTCTGACCACCTCCCCCTGGGGGATGCAGCCATGCCAGGCCACAGAGGAAGACTATACAACCAGTCCTGATGAGACCTTTTTTAAGAAGCTCCCTGTGCTGTCCGGTCACAGTCCAAGAAAGGAGCTGTGGTAAGTAAGATTCTGCTTGCTTGTGAGAAAACTCCAAGAAAACAAGAATCTTTTGACCCTTTTTCTTTCTTTTTTTTTTTCATCTAAACAATAGTTTGTTCTTGGAATGTGCCTTTGTGCCTCTCTCAGATGCAACAAATAGGAGTGAGGTTTGCTTACGATCGTCATTCAGAAACTGTTTGCAAGCACAGCTTGCACTTTTGACTGTCTACAGCTTGAAATCATGTGGATTTTGCTCATGTGTCCTTGCTTAACCTGTAGAATATAAACTGTCTGATGCTCTAAATAAGGTGGTTATTGCATGAGACTTTAGTCTGTTTTATTTTTAGGGTCCATGTTCCCAGGTCCTACCAGATCTAAAGCAGTGCCACCCTGTGATTGATACATGCCTTGCACATGGCAGAAGATCTGTCAGTATAGAGATCTTCAGAGTATATTATCCAGGCCAGGAGCATCAGACAACATCACATGGACCCTCATAAACAATGCTGAACCATGGGCCTGCTCCAGTTCTATGAGATTCTAAGTTTTAGAGAAGGAGCCCTATAACCTGGTACTTCATCACACCCTCTGGGCTATCCCATTCTTCTCAAGTTGAAGAATATCTACTGTTATGCCCAGTTTGTGAGACCCCCCAAAGACCAGGAATCTACTCCACTGAAAAACACATGCAGATCTTTGTATTGCAAGCCATAGCTTGGGCTCAAACCCTTACCACCAGAGCCGTTGAGAGCAAAGAGCATTGTGCTCAGGTTAGGTGGTTGATTTAAAGAGTCCGGTTTCTCCCAGCAGGCCCAAAGCAGGGGAATTCCTGCCTGGCAAGCATCTATTGGTTGAAACACAAAAGGGATGTTGAGTTTTGAATTGATTGGCTATAGGAAGAGTCTGGCTTCCCTTGTTTGGCTGCCCTAGGGCAGAGGGACAATCTGGGCTGGTTTCCTAGCAACTGTATCTCTAGTGGGGAGGAAAAGAATGCAGTAAGGTTGGTTCCTCCAGGCAGATGGCTAGACATGTCTACACCTGTCTGGCCTTCGTTCAGGCTTGTGCTTTAAACTGTGAACCAATACCTCAAAAAACTAATTTTTAATTCTTTGGTCTCTCACTACCTCTGGACTTCTTCAATTTATATCTAAAATGAAGTAGATGAGAGAAGCTATTTAATTTTACATTTTTAAGTGACTAAAACATACATTTATCTTTCTGGTAATGGTTAAAACCTCTTCAGTGTCCACCAGTATTTTCCAAAGGATTATCTTTACAGTCAGACTTGTTGTATGTATGAATGGAATAACATTCACTAATTCATCTGGCATCTGGCAAAACTGTATCCGTTTGATATGATGGATGACCCTGGCTCTCTAGAACCTTCCATGTGGACGCACAGTACTTATTCCTGACAGGATGGATGTAATGGAAGCTATCA